CACCAGTGGACTGCAGTTTCGACCTCGCATCGGTCGAGATGCATTCATATTTCTGATTTACTGGTAGTCACGAAAACATTACTTAATTCGAAAAATAAAGTATCGTAGTCGATTTTTATAGTAGATATACGTTTGCTTTATCGAGAATTCCACCAAAAAAAATGACATGACAAAAAGGCCTGACCTTTCTTGAAATTCACATTTGCCCTGTGACCCAAAGACACTCGTGGCAATTTGTCGAGTGATTAACGTGTCAAGCTCCCATCCTGCACTGTCGCGGTTCGACTCCCGTAGAGGGTGTTGATAAGACCGATGCGAGGTCGAAACTGCAGTCCATCTCAGCTTGGAGGAAGGAAACAATTTTTGGGAAAGCAAGGCTATGTGAAATTCAATGGAAACGTCAGCTCAACTCATATCATTGTGGGAAAATTATACTTTGGGAAAGCAAGGCTATGTGAAATTCAATGGAAACGTCAGCTCAACTCATATCATTGTGGGAAAATTCGATGGAAAGCAAGGCTATGTGAAATTCAATGGAAACGTCAGCTCAACTCATATCATTGTGGGAAAATTCTTCGAAAGCAAGGCTATGTGAAATTCAATGGAAACGTCAGCTCAACTCATATCATTGTGGGAAAATTCTTCTTCTGCCAGTCCTTCATCACCTTAGACGAAATTGTGTGAATACATCTGATATTATTATATAAAAGGTAAATCATACATCCTTCCACATATAACGAGCTTACTTTGCCTTGCTCAAACTTGTCCCGATGCGTTTCCGACTTATCCAATTTACGCTCGCCAGAATCGCCTTTGTCTCCGTAGAGTGTGAGGAAGACATTGGCATTTGTACCAGCCTCCTTGACATCGGCAGTTATCACTCGGATCTGGTAGAGCTTCGTGCTCAGGCCCGGCCCGGTTTCGACCAGATCGCTGCCCTTCATTACTCGAGTGGGCAGTAGGTCGAGATCAAGTGCTCCGTCCTCTTCGTCCTTGGCCAACCATCGGTTGCATGGGAATACGTAAGTGATAGGAACCTGTTTTAGAGTGGACGGGGTGGAAACAAAAGTAAGGATATGCTAAACGGATGTCATGCTTTTGGATAGATGAAGTTGTAAAAAACATGGGAGAGCTTAGGTGAATTAAGGTTATATAGAGATTGAAATTTGAGTTTTAGACAATAAAATATATGGCAGGCACCATAGTGCCGTTAGATTTAGCATAGTTTTCTTATCCAGACAGGATTGCAGCTTCAACTTTGCCGTGTCTCGTCAGCACCCACAAAGGGACTATAAACCAGGTTGTGCATGTAAAATGGCAATTCAGCGAATATCCCTGATCAACAATGGGTCACAAAAAGTATGTGAAATTGAAGGCAAGTTATGCCTTTTTCAACTCAGATAGACATAGAAACCAATTTGCCAAAGAAAAATTGATTTAGTTTTATTAAAATCGACGATATTACTGTATTCCGAATGAGTAGGTTTTACCATTTTCTCTAGCTCTATAAACAAATATGCTTTATAATGTCATGTGACAAAATTAACCAAACCATTATATCCTTGATCACCTATTGATCACAAAAAGGGTGTGAAATTGATGGCAAGTTATGACTTTTTCAACTCAAATAGACATAGAGATTAATTTGCCAAAACAATTGTTTTATTTTAATAAAAATAGACGATATTACTATATTCCGAATGAGTAGGTTTTACAATTTTCTCTAGCTCTATAAACAAATATGCTTTATAATGTCATGTGACAAAAACTAACCAAACCATTATACCTTGCAAAAATTCATCGACTTCCAGTGTACATGAGACAAGTACGGATATTTGGAGTAAGTTTACTTTGCTCGTTGGGTTGGATATGGTTGTGAGAATAGTGATGTCCTACAAATGACAAGAAAAGTTGGGTTTCGAGGAATCTCTTGTTTCATAATTGTTGAGCTTACTTCCATTACAAGTGAAAGTGTTGAGTGAAGTGATTCAAAGGTCGGTTCCACCTTCCGTTACGGTCATATCTCAACTTCTATTTCTCTTTCGCATTAAGACCCAAACCAAAAAAAGGATCATCAACGAAACCAGACGAGTGTCCTACCTTGCGCAATCGTAGTGATGGTTATAACATGCATGTAGAAAGGGTGAGATAGGGGTCATCAAACCTTGATGACCAAAAACAGACGTTCCTTTTTGCTGTCCTAATTACTTTGAGCCATCACTGTGGGTTTCGTGCATAAGCGAAAACAAACAGACACATACACATACAGAGACAGACACACTCACAGGCTTCGAAGTTGAAATACGACAGTAACTAACTAACTCACTTTATACTTGTCAAAGAGGCCGGATGTAGAGTATAGATACCACTTTTTAGGGATTTGCCGGTGACTTTTATTGACTTGTTAGCTTGAATTTGGTTGTCACGATGATACCTTTCTCTGATGATGTTGGTCATATGAAGGATGAAAGCTTAGCACCTTTTCATCGGAATCCAAGTAGATTACCTCGGAAACAGCGTCAGCATGAATTTTCCTGTAAAGCCAATCGACAGCTGGTCAAGAGGAATCGGTCGTCGTCTTCTGGTGGAACCGACCTTTGAATCTCTTCACTCGACACTTTCACTCGAAATGGGGGTAAGCTCAACAACTACAAATGACAGACGAAAGCTCAGCAACATTACACTGGAGTGAAATGATACCACTTAGACGATAGCAGAACCAAAATAAAGCTAGAAAACTAAAAAACTGAAATCATCTTCGAATCTTTTCATCACATACTATCACTTTAACTGTCAGAAAGTGTACAGACTGCAGAAAGTTTTAAAGACCCCTTTTTTAGTTTATAATGAAGTTTATTCTACCATATTGTCCCTCATTGCTGCTTAGTAAGCCAATCATGTTGAATATGACAATGCCAAAACATATGTTTGGCTGAGACAGGTTCATGTCAATGTCTCTAAATGACTAAATATTGTCCTTGTCTTTAAGGCTATTTTTTAAATTTACATCAAAGTGAAATATTTCGTTGCATAAATATGTTTTTGCCCTAAATAAGAATTCCTTTTGGAATGCAGGGAATTGTGAAATTCAATGGAAATATGAAGTCTACTCAGATAATTATGGAACGATTTAACTGCCATTTCTTCATCACCTTAAATGAGATGGGAAGAATACATCTCTTCATCCAGGTGAGATTTGTCTATTGTGTGCTATCAAATAGAGATAAAATACAGACCTTTTCATCCTCCTGCATTCGTCTGACTTCGACACGATCAAGATGCCATCCTGCGGCCACTCCAGAGCCATTATGGCCGATCCTCAGCTTGCTTAGGGGCTCTGATATCTCTTCGAGCTGCACAAAGAAGACGTCACGGCTTTTCCTTTCGAAGCACTTCTTGGAATCTACGCGATTCGCTAGAACCACCTTTTCCGTTGCCTCTCCACTGGCGCCGTAAAGCTGAATATATACAGTCGCGTCTGTTCCTGCGCCAAATTTGTCACTTGTCATGGTTGTCACTTCGTATGTGCGTTCTGGTGAAGAAAAAAAAGAAATAATTTAGATCCACTGTTGTTGCGCCGGCACCATAGACAGGCTGAATTGGCTGCTTTCTGCACTGACATCCATCACATTGACAAATTCCAGCCTATAGTGATTCGGTTTTCCAGTTTAAAGAAAAAGTTGGTTGGTTAAAATTCGTTAATTGGTCTCATCTGTAACCGAAGGAGGATTGCCGCAGAATGAAGACTGTTGGATTTTGCGAAGAAATTCCCCACTCATCGTCCTCTGACTCCGATAAAAATAGGTTAAAATTTGGTCTTTAATGTGAAATGGACCAGAGAACAGAGAAAGATTTAACACATTACAAAATAGCGCAATAATACACTAAACTTTTCCTCTTGGTTTATTATATTAATGCGCTATCTCATGAGGTATGAACTCTTACTATGATTATGTGTTTCACAATATGAACGCAAGCGAAGCAATGGTTCATCACTGGCGGGACGGCGAGTCGAGGTCCCCTTTGCTCTGCGGAAATACCACTTCGTTTTACGGAACGACAAATTCACGAATTTCTTCAAAATGGAAAGTAGAATCACAATAAGGAGGTCTTCATAACCCAGCATTTCTTCAGACCTTCTAAATTATTTCACCAATCTTGTCAAGCAGCAACCACATATTTTCTTTCAAACTTTACCGGGCCTACAGGACTGGTATAGCAACCATTTCTTTAAATTCTGTTTTTTGTAGAAAAGTGTTTTATTAAATCGTTTATATGAAGACCAAGATTTTGTAGCCTTAGGTTTGGTCGCAGCTACCTTTAGATGTATATGATTGGTTTGACCTCGTTTTCTCCACTTAGTCGTGATGACAGTAAAATCTTGTGAAATAAACCCAGTCCTGCGTTCGTCAAAATAGCTCGTGAGAACTTCCAGCATTGGTAGGTTGACTTGGTAACTGCTCTGACGTTTGCCGGCATCGTAGGCAGCATCGCCAGTAGAGAGACGCTATCGTTAGCACAGAGTAACAACTTATTAAAGTCCTTCGACAAGTGCTGGTAAAACCCCTGGGAATGTACCAAGTCGACAATCAGATGCTGAAAATTTTTATGAACAATATGTCATAGGTCCACCTGTCGCTCCAAGCAAATTGGGAAAATGGCTTATAAACTGAACATTTTCAGATTTAATTTACAGACTTGGTTTGCATAATTGGTATTTCGGAGAACTATCCATTCGTACACAATGACCGCATCTGCATTCAGACTTCCCTACTACTGTCTCCTTCCCAAAGTACGCTGAACCTTCCGCCTTTGAGCCAGTA